GACTCCGGGAAGGGCCTGGTTTCCTGTTCAAAGTCCCTTCTCGCCCAGCGACCTGTGTAACTGAAAAGCCCAGAACCCCTTCTCAGAAAAACCGCAGGCCCTTATCGGGGACTAGAGTCTGTTTCACACCCACCGCCCGGGACGACTGTCAGCAACTCAGTTATCTCATAACACACCCGCAGCCACTCGGCAGGCCCTGCAAAACGGGAAGAACAAGAATTTTCCAAATAATCATAATTGGAACGGAGCTTATCAAGTCCCAGCTTACTTTTTAAGTCTCAGACTAATCAAAACTATGCTGGAGCCAAATTTAATAAACATCCAAGCCACTGGGTTCCTGTTTCCTTTCATCCTTCTGATGAGGAAATAATGACATTTCAACTTAAAACCTCGCTTGAAGGACAGGTGTAAAATAAGATCAAATACTAGTGTTTAAATGGAGTAATATTTAAGGGCAGTTGTCCACTGTTTCGTACCAAATTCAGTGCTCGGTAACTGATCTCTGTGTAAAACAGCTAATTAATGAAGAAAATGCAGACTTCACCTTGTTTCGCGCTGCCCTGCGCTGTGATATAGTGGTGGTGCCAGAGCCTCTTAAAAAACTAAATTACTGATCATCGTATTTAATATCACGTGTTCTCAACTGAGTGACTTATGTGAAACCAAGTTTAGATTTGGGGACTGTAAGGGAATCAACATTTCCTATTGCTTTTTGGGGTAAAATACTGATTTAAGATTATTACTCAGAAGTCAGTGGATTTACTTGTTGAAATCTAGTGAGTCTGGTTATAAGCATCTAGTCAAGACAGGGCCTGAGAACTAGTTTAATGTCCTAGAAACACTTAAGCCAGCTATACGCCAGCAGCGTGATGCACCGCCAGAGAAAGTGTGACTTTCCTTGCAGAACAGCCGCAGGGTGGTGAACCGAACAGCAGTGACTGAAAGGGGCACTAGGCGCTGTTTAGAATGAGAGGTGCCCTCGAGACCCCGTCTCTGTGTGCAGTAGACGGGTGAACTGCAACAGATGTGCCAAAACCTTTTTTATAGAAACAACAGTATTTGGTGGTCACAGAATAGCTTCCAAAACACATTTTTGTATTGCAGCACCGCACAGGCCACTCCGATCGTCCCTGCAAGCTCGCGTCAGGGAGGGAGCTGTGTGACCTGAAAGTCTTGAGTACCCAGGAAAGAAAGAGCCATGTGAATATATGTAATAAACTTGTAGCATATGTAGAGTTTGGGCATTCATCTTACAATAACAGAGTATTTTAGTATGAATTTGCTGAATGTAAGACCATAG